AACTCTGATAGAAAAACAGAGTATCTCCCAATTCTTTGAATATTACACTTATAGAATATATTACACAAGATAATATAAACTTATAAGAAGCTGAAACTGAAATTATAATTTCAACAAGGCTTCAAAGGAGCTTAGAAAAATCAAATAATATAATAAAAGGTTTCACAGACAGTTTAATCACCCTAAAAACAATCAAAGAGAAACTAAACAACTATGCAATCTTTAATATCTACACAGATAGTTTTCTAACCAAATTTAGAGACAAATCTACATAGGACTGGAGTGAGTTATCATTACTTCAAATCAGAAGATATACACTTTTCAGGGACAAATAACTAGACACTTCTTATTAATCAAGGCAGAAATAGCAGCTATTCTAACAGCTCATAGTGCTCTATCCAAATACAGCACAGTAAATATATTTATTGACAGTTAAGCATCAATCAATGGAATTCTGAAAATACAAAGAAAGTATTGAAAAGATCATAAAATACAGAAAAACTATAATATACTATTATAGATCTCAAAATGATACAAAGAATATAAAATAAAATTGTTATTTTTCAAAGTGAAGGGTTACTTAAAAATCAAATACAATGAAATAACAACAAACTAATACAAATTCATCCTTAAAAAGGTATATTACCAGGGAAAAAATAAATTGAGGTAACAGAAATATATAACCAATGTATTAGAATAATCCCCAATGAAACAATATTCCTACTGAAGTTCCTATAAAAATTATTACAAAAAAGCTCACAAGTGCTATATACCTGGCAAATGAAAACTACTAAACAGAACAAGATGTAATTTCAGTGACAGCATTATCAAAGAAATAGACTGGTCCATAACCATAACATACTTGCAACCAACCAAGATAAGTAATCACCACACAACTTGAAGAATCAAAAGTTAAGGAAAATTTGTTATAGCATATAGAATAAGAAACTATTAACCAAAAGCAAACTATATGTAATAGTCATATTATTATACAAAAATAAGAACTGTTTGGTATGCAAATAACTTAAAATCAATACACATCCTTTCATGTGCCTATAGACAGATAAAATACTGAGACATTCCTAATCAACACAATATTTGAATGTATAGAAACACATGCAGGTAGAGTTAAAAGCTAAAATTTATATATTAGTTAAAAGACAAAACCAACCTGAAATACAAGGAATACTTAATTGCAAGTATAATAAGAGCATTCCTCAAAGAACTAACTTGTGATATCAAGAGAGTAATCCCAGATAAACTAGTTAGGAAAGCTGTATCTCTCTAATACATACAAAAATAATCAAATATTTTTATCAGATATAGACAAAAAAAGTGAAGCCTTTCAAAAATGAAAAGCACAAAATAGCATTACAAAATAAAAAAAAAAAAGTTCAATTATGAATTCAAAGAAGAAGACCCATTATTTATGCAAAGAGAACAATTCATAAAAGACCAGTTCATTTATTTGATCAATAAATTTATAATACAATGGATAACAAATATGATAAATAACATCTACATCCTCGAAATTTATTTTAGTACTAGCTTAGCTTTGGCAGGTTAGTTTTCACTAAAGGGTTAGCAACAGTCACAAAGTGAATTCTTTCTAAGAGAGGTTATCTCTATTAATTTTTGTTTAATAGTAGATTAGTAATATATCTAAAAAAATTCAATGTAATAATACTGTATAAATACAAATAAAATAAGGTTGAGCCAGTATTAAAAAAAAAAATAAAAAAAATAACTATATATATACAGGTATATAAAATAACTTATAGAAATTTATTATCTGATCATAGTATAAAATTAGGTTATATAGTCTTGATTAGTTTTATTGTTAAGAAAAACTCTAAATTCTGTTATCCAGAATATGTAAAGATTCCAAAGACAAGTCAAAAAAAGATCTTGATAGGCCTAAACCTTTAAAATATATATGGAAAAGAAATTTACCTCTTAGTAGAACTAAACTCTATGAAAGATAAGATATAATTCAGTCATTTGTATCTATTAAAAATATAATAGACTATAATAAAATTAATAGACAATTGTTTTGATTATAAAATTAATAGATATCAAAGAGAACTATTATTGTAAAGGCTGGTAATAAGAATTAATACTATATTTGAAACCATAGAATTTGATGTATTTGGATGAAGCTATATAATCTCAATTTATCAATGCAAATCTTTTGTAGGCTATCTTGCAATAATGGTTAAAATAAAGTAATGAAAGGTTATATGCTATCCAATTAAATAATACCATTAAATTATTAGGATATCAAAATATAACTGAAGACCTATACTATTTAAGTTTCAACTAGCCTATTAAGGATTAAATATAATAAAAATTGACTATAATATCTATAATTATTAAGAGACAAGTAAATTACATAATAAGGAATATATATTAAGCCTTTTCAAAAAAAATAGAAGTCTGATAATAGATTCTCAAAATGTTATAGGTCTAGACAGAACAGACAACTGATAATAATAATATTATCATATAGTAAAATTGATATATTTGGAGAGATATTAAAATAAGTTATATTAATAGCTCATATAATTGAAAATATACTAATAAATACCCCAATAAAGTTTTATTCTATCAGTTGAACTATAAAAATTTTTTCTTTGTTTTTTGAAAAAAAAATACTTCTTCATATTTTCACTTTTTAAAAAATTTTTTTGAATTTATTATTAGAAAATATTCTTAAAACCTATATTATAATAATTTAATATTAGAAATAATTTTATTTTCGAGCTTAAACTATTCATTAAAAAGTATAACTTTTTTAAAAAATTTTAAATATTTGAAAATATATCATTTTGACAGAAGTTTTCAAATGCTATTTTTACTATAAGTTAAAGTAATAAATATTATAAGTAATTTAAATGGTTAGTTATAAAATTTTATAATAATCTCCTTATTAGGTTTTAATTTATAATCCTTTTATAAATTATAGATTAGTGTTTAAATCTCTAAATAAAACAAAACACTTTGTTTACTTTATTTTTTATAAAAAAAATTATAAAAACTTAATAATAAAAAAAAATTTTTTTTTTATTTTCATTAAATTTTTGTCTTTATAGATAAATTTTTCTTAAATTTGCAAGCTACTGTATAAAGTAAATTTTTTAATAATTTTAGTAAGTTCAATAGTATAAATAATAATTCTTTGCAATTTTTACAATTAAATAAATATATTTCTTTATTAAAGCTAGTAAACAAGACTGAGACAGCTAATATACAGTATATAAACTTATTGATTCTTTTAAAGTATTGTATAATAAAATTAATTAATAATAATTAATAATAAATTAAAAATAATAATCTATATGGTTTATACATAAAAATATTGTCTAAATTTTTTGACATTAATCAGATTAATTGTTTGAAATTTTAGACAAACTTTAAATATTTATTCGAAAAGTTTCTTTTTTAGTTTTGTTTAATTTAATGAAACAAAAATAAACAAATAAAAAAATACTACTTAAATAAAAACAATAATCCAAACAAACGTTATCGTATTCGAAAAAAGGATACTATAACGTAAAGAGGTAAAAATTAGAAATTTAATAAAAAAGGCTAGATGAGGGTATATAAAAGCAATAAAACCAACTTACCCCATAGTGAATTACAAAAATTCTTATGCATTTAAAGCGAGTTATGTTTCTGTATATCAATAATAAAATTATAGTATCATAATTTTTGCAGGCAACGATTTAAATCGTTAATAATAATAATAAATTTTTTTCAATAGGCAAAAACATAGTATGATGGAAAAGCAGCGCGTAGACCTATCGCATAGGATGATCCAGAAGATACTTAGCACTACAAAAAGAAATTGTTTTGTGTAAATTATGTTAATAAAATTTATAAATTACATTAAATAAATATCAAATTAAATAACTATTTATAATAAATAAGATGGAAAAAAACAAAATCTTACATTAAATCACTATAATATTAATTAAGAAGGGAGTAAATAAAAAGATGTTAAAATAATCCTAAGAAAACAATAAGAGGTTTTCTTACCGCATAGGGCAATTCTGAAGTCTCTCTGTACTGTCAAAGATTATTTTAAGTAAATGATTGTTAATTTGATGAATGGTATTATTGTATTTTCATAAAAACTTACATTAAATTACTATTTAAAAAGCATTAAGAAAGGAATTAATAGATTATGGCAAGTAAAATAATATGTAATAAAAAGCACGAGAGTAATTCTACCTCATAGGACAATTCTGAAGATACTCTGTACTATTAAAATACATTTCAGGTAAGCTTATGTTGATGAGATACATAAAACTAGTTTGAATGAAATTATACTTTAAATTGCTGTTATCATTTCGGCAGATGAAAAGTATTAAAACGAGTTGAAATAAATATGAGATAGAAAACAATCAGTAATTCACCCTACCTCTTAGAGTAATTCTGCGAAAACTCGGTACTATTAAAAAATTATTTTAGCGAACTTATGTTAAATATAATGTTCAACATTACTTTAGTAAAGTCATACTTTAAATTATCGATAAAGTTATTGATAAATAATTGTTGTACTTCGCTGACAACATCGAGAAAGAAACTAATAAGACTTGATGGAATGATATATACTGAGCTTAATATTAATTAGTGAATAAAAAATCCTACATTGAATTGCTGCTATAGTCTTCGGTAGGCAATGATTGTAATTCACTAATATGCATTAAGAATGAAACAATAAACCATTAGTAATATACTGCATATCATTATGTTAATAAATAAATAATATTGGTTTTAATAAATATAATACTCCAAATTTGTATTATTATCTTCGGTGGGCGAAGGACACAATTCGCTAAAAATAATTTAGGAAAGAAATCAATAAAGTTCTAAAATATTAATACAAAACGGAAAAAGAGTAAATTACCGCATTTGGTAACTCTGAAAGCACCCAGAACTATTAAAGCAATAGCTTTAAGCAAACTAGTGTTGATAGGATGCAGAAAATTTCTTTATTAATCATACTTTAGATTGCTTGGGCTTTCTGGTTGCAATTCGCTAATAAGTATTGGGAATGGAATTAATAAACCATAAAATACTAAGTTAACGATAGTGATTAGATTAAAATTATACTTTATATTGCGGCCATTATTTTCGGCAGGTAATAGTGGCAATTCGCTAATAAACATTAAGAAAAATTAACAAGCATGATGTACGTGAACTAGTGTTAAAATATTAATTTAGATATATCATACTTTAGATTGTTATTGTTGTTCTCGGTAGGTACTAGTTGCAATTTGCTAATAAGAGTTGAAACAGACATTAATAAAACATAATAAAATGCAAAGGGATTAGAGTGAACATTACTTTTAATAAATCTTACTTACTTTAAACCACTTTCATAGTTTCCAGCAAATAATGATTGCACTGCGCTAATAAGTATTCAGAAAGAAATTACTAAATTATCCAAAAATAATATGATGGTCGTGAGAAAAGATAGAACAAAATACATGGGATGGCATTGCAAATTCTCTGTGTGCTCATTTTCAGCGAATTTCCTGCAATAAAATAGTTGATCAGCAATATATAATAATAAAATAACAATATAGTAAAAGAATAACAACAATTGATTTTGCAACTGTTGTCTAAGCATTTTATTTTCACGAGTAAGTCTTTCTTTTTCTTCGCGCAATAAACGAAGACATTCGCTTATAACTGTTATTTGAGAGCGTAGATCGACTATTTCGTCCTCCTTTAACTTTTCTTTTTCCTTTTTCTTTTTTTGATATCTTTGATTTCTTGAGCGACGTTTCTCTTTATCAACTGCAACTGATGACATCGAAACTTGTCCGTAACTATAATGTGAATTTTGAAAAAAAAATTGCAAAGTAAAAACAAAACTTATGAATTAAAGTCGGTGTTTATATACAAATTAAAAACAAGGTTATGCGTCTTAAGATTATCCATGTGCAAAATAAAACGTTTTGTTGTTCCGACACCAAAATTTGTGGTACTACTTAAAAACGTCGTTATGCGTCTTAAGACGCCTGAAATTCCTAAAATATTCAACAACAATATTATTTTGAGAGCATTAATTTAAATATTTATGGATTTTTCTGATAAAATGAATTGGAAGAAAAAAGCTTATCTCGTTCAATAATCCAACGCAATTGTTCAAAGTACATTGTACAATTGATTCGACCCACATTAAAGATTGGCAACTTTTTCCCCATTAATTTTTTCTTCCGTTAATATTTCTTGCTGATACATTTATTTTTAAACGACATAACTCCTTATCTTATGATAACATTTTTGAAATAAGTATAAAATAAAATAACCATAAAGAAAAAAATGGTTAAAAAATTGGAACGAAGAAAGTGAACTAAAAGAACGAAATTGACCACTATACAAATTTTAATGTAAAAATGTCGATATCATATTTGTTTAAGTATACTTGCGCAAAATAATTATCAGATACATACAATATGTGTCTTTAGATTTATATTTATTCCCTTATTATAATATACGAAAGTTTCTATGGAAATCAATTTTCTCTAATGCATTTATATATTTAATTTTATAGCATCACAGGTGTGTAGATTATTTTTTTGCATAAAATCCATAAACTAAGTTTGACTTACAAATTTTCGAAACTCCAGCTTGACTATTATTCACGTTTTCAAGTGATAGAAAATCAAAAGCAAGGTTTTTTACACTTTTATCGAAGAGCGCAAACTATATTGTATCCAAGTTTACGATGAAAATACGAATTGTTAATTTTTAGCCTTGTATAAAAATCATCTATACTGTATATTAAAGAAACCCCCAAAATGTTTGTGTTAGAATGCGGAAGGATCAGCATTGAATTTACCTAAATCACGTGGTTATCGCAAACTCCGAAAATATTTAGACTATTTTTTATTTTTGATAAAAACTATTATACAATATTGATTTTTTAAAATGCTGGCTTAGCCTTGTTTTATTTGAAATTATGTAGTATAAATACATAGAGAACTACCCTAGGATGTACTGCCTGTTTACTACCAAATAAAATTCAATAGAGTCATTCTTATATAGAAGATACTCCTTGCAACTTGTTACCATTTCTTTGTTGAAAGCTAACTTGCTAAGGTCAGGCTAGTGCTGAAAGAAATTTCAAATATATAGAAATTGTTTATAATATTTGAGATTCAGCGGTTCATAAATTCATTGATCAAATATATAAATTGATCTTTAATATTTTTTTTCCTTGAGATAAAGGAAAAGTCTTCCTTTTTGGTTTCTTATTTTGCTAATTTTTCTTTTTTTCTTATTATTCCGTCTTTAGCTTTTTATTCTTGAAATACTTCACATCTTTTTTGCCAAATTTGAAATAAATATATTATAGTTTCAATATAAATTGCTGTTATATAGTTTTTCTTAATTGTTTTGTCTAATATAATTAATTTAATATTATAAGTTAGTCTTTAAAAAGGTTATTTAATCTTATAAACAGATATTCCTTATATCTCAAGTTTATTTTGTTCTCAAATTAGATTATAAACTCTTAATATTTTTTTCTTTATCTATTTATACTTCTATACAATATATTATTGTATTAATCTGAACATTTATAATTTTAAATCTAAATTATTAATACGAAAATAAATATAAATTGGCTTCTTTTTTATTATATTTGTTACATTTATTATTTGAATAAGTAAATAGTAATTATTAGTCATTATTTTATAGACTAAAATAGAATTTTCTGATTTTTTTATTCAATTTATCAATTTATTTTTTTAATTATATATTTATATTATATATAGTTCTATTTAGCAAATGCTATTTTGTTAAATAAATTATTTAATAAGTTTTTTATAATTAGCTTTATTAAAATTTTGACAAAGAGATTATTCAAATGCATATTATTTTTATACTCGGATTTTTTTATTTTAAGATTTTTATTTCTTTATTTTCTAGTTTCATGTTTTTTATAGATCTATTTATATTAACTAATCTGATACTTTATTTTATTATATTTGATTTACAAGCAAGTTTTTATTTTTAAAATAATATTTTTAGTTTTTTTTGTTTACATATATTCTTAATTTAAAAAAAATTTGAGTTTTTATAATTTTATTGATATCTTCATTTTAAATTTTTTTTATTCTATTGATAACTATCTAATTATTTATATAAATATTTATAGAGCTATACTTTAATAAAATATTGAAAATAGTTAAAATTGTTTTTATTTTTATTCTAATAGAGAATAGATATCTTGTTATCTATTCTTAAAAGATATTGTATAATATTAATATTTTTTATTATTTTTTAATAATTATTTATTTAAATTGAATAATTTTTATTAGAATTTATTTGTTTATAATATTTTAGAAATATATTTTTTATAAAAAAAAATTTTTTTTTTTTAAGCTGATGAAGTTATACTGTGGTTTTTATTTAATCATTAATACCTTCTTATGTACACAAATTTAATTGTAAGAAAATATATTTATGATAGAAAAAAAACGATAGACTTAATATTATTCAATCCCTGTGATTTGCTGCAGTTTACCCAAATGGGTAAATGTTAACATATAATGACTTCACTAATACTTATAAAAAATAAAGAGTTAATCGAAAAACTGTTTTGTATAATATTTTTTATATTGTAGTTTGTTAGATCTATCCATAGCTATATAGCAGTATTGGGTACTTTATTGTTCAGTGATATTTTCTCTTTCTTCAGATATTTGTTGTTGTCACTTGTTGATCTTTTCTTCATTTTTTTTGTTATTCCCTATATTTTTTTTCACTCTATTACCAATTTGCATCTTAGCTTCCAAACTTTCTTCTTTTTCTTTCAGAACTATACTGTGACTGAATTGATAGCAGTTTTTGCTGTTTTAATATTTCCTGTGATTTTCTCTGGTGCTTTCATTATCTTATGACTAATGACCCCTTTGATGATATCTGCCCAATTCACTTCCTAATCCCATTTTATCCAATCTGATAGTGTTCTTGAAGGAAATGAATGGTTCCATTTGTTCAGCATATGTTTTATTTGTTTGTGACCATTCATTTTAGTGCATATTTTTGTATGAGAAGTGTGATATATTTTTTGATTAGTCTTGTCTTGTTGGGTCCGCAGGTGAAGAGATACAAGTCTTTCTCTTTTTGCTTCCTACAGACTGTGCAGGTAGGGCTTTTGTATAGATGTAGTTTTCTTTTGACAAGTTGCCTATTATAGAATGCTCGTTAAGCCATGTCTTGAGTTGAAATGTTTTGTCATTGTATCTTTGATATCTATTTGTGTTGTTGTAATTTTGAATGGTATTATTGTTTACATAGTCATGTTTCAATCAATCTCCTTGGCTTTGAACCTATTTAATCAGTCTTGTGTATATCTTAGAGTTCTTCACTTACTTACCCATTTTGTCTTGAGCAAGATCTTCCCAATGGTCTTGAAGAGAAGGCCTATGAAGAATTGGTCCCATCTGAGCATTGTCATGTCACTTGTTGTGTTTAACTCTTGGATCTTGACTATGTCTTTGTAATTATCTGTTAGTGTTGTTGCTGTGAGTTTATCATCTCATTCATTTTCATGAATTCTGGAATAATCCTTAATCTTGGTTCAGGTAACTTGTATATTTTATTTTGTTATAACTTCGCAGATTACATTAACCAGGCTACTGTTCAGGCATTCTTGTTTTCTTTTGTTTTTTGAAATATCTTTTTTATTACATTGATTACTCCTTGGCTATCTGTTAGGATGTTCACTTTCTTGTGTGCAAATTGCTGTTAGTATTGCTATAAGCTCTGCTCTTATAAAGTATGAGATGTCTTATGTTTCAGCTTGAAATGTTGCAACTTTATTTCTTCCTTTGTTAAGGCTATCCAGTCTATCCCCATCCTGCTATTCCTGTAATATCTTGTATATAAACCATTAGTATATATCTGTAGGTTGTCATATGGAGCGAGCTTTTGTACTATTTATTGGAGTTTGAGAAATGTTCTGGAAGAATTTTTCAGTTTTTTATGGATTAAGGCCTTTATATTTAATATCGGATCGAGGTTTATAGTTGAGGGTTATATCTAGGAGTTTCATATCGATTTTTCTTAGGGTAAGCTCTATGTCTCATAGAGAAGATTGTAGTCTATTGATGAAGTGTTTCTTCATGTTGGTTTCTTGTTGGCTGGAAAGATATATCTTTGTACTTTTTTGAATGTTTATATTGACTGACCTTGTTATAAACTAGAATATTATGCATTTTTATTGATTTTTGTAACCTTTTTTGAGCACTGGGTTATTGAAGGGGCAGCTACACAACCTTAATT